GGCAAGCCGTGCTGTCAAATCTCCCCGAGAGCCATTGCCCGCCTTTCCTGCCCTCCCCCCTCAACCCCCCCCCCCAAATAATGAGCAGATCCCCTCCTTTGCTTGGGGGGAGGAGATGCAGCCCTTCACGCAGACCCTGAACCCTGGGGAATAGGAGTAATTAAAACTATGCAGGGCCTCCACACCGTATTTCTTCTCAATACGGTCCCCTCTTTACGGGGAAAAATTGCAACCAACCTATTTCTCTATATAGCCTTTCTTTCCTGCACGCGCATCGCTTTCTCCTCCCCCCGCCCACTACTTGGTTGCTCCCAAGTCTCAGGATCCCCTATGGGCTTCGGGCGATACCAACTCTCCATCGGGGTGGAAAATTTAAATATCAGCCTCACCTTTCCCAAACAGCTTCCCTAAACCACTCATCTCGCCTGGTGGGAAATTCACTGGGTTTCCTCTTCCGGCTTCACCCACCTACCAGCCTCGCCCCGCCCCATGACGTGTCAAGGACCAAAGGGCTGCCGTGTTCGTGTTTCCTCGGAAAGCCACGGGCTGCCGAGCGAAGCAAGCGTGGGAGGCGAGAACGGCACTACCTTGCGCCGTGCACGCTGAAATGGCGGCCTTAAAACGTTAAATGAATAAATTAAAAAAGTAGCAAACTCCCTTTGGGCTGAAGAGCCTTGAAATGACGATCCAATTATTTCGCGATTGCTGCAAAGGGCTGCAATGAAAAACGGGCAGCCCGCACCCTCTTCCGTTTCCCCCTGCATTGGGTCTAAGCCACTCTATTAAGTCTAATCGGAGCCGGAAATAGTCGTCGAACCACACTGAGCTGATTCCTCTTGGGCCAGCTAGAGGCATGTGATGAAAGCATGGGGGGAGACTTTCGAAATGCGATAAATCATGTGCCCTGTGACGTCACTCCCCCGGCCTCTCTCTCTCTTAAAGGAACCATATCCCCAAATAATCGTTTCAGGCCTTAAAGGGGCCGCACCCTTTCCATCCATGTAACAACCGAGACGCCATTCCAAAAGGGAATGTGAGACTTTGCGTATTTTAATAAAGATGCCACCCACTCAGTTGCTTGAATCTTCCTTTCATTCATCCATATTCTTAAATGACAATTTTTCAGTTATTGCTGAATGTATAGGAACAGGATTAAAGTTTGCCTGAGCACACCACTTTGAAACATGTGAACTAAGCAGACAGTGTTATATTAGATTATATTAATTTAACCAACCCATTAATAAATGTATGGTTAAGGAGTGGGGAGACCCAGGTTCGAGTCTACCCCCAACCAGAGAAACGTACTGGGTGACTTTGGGTCAGTCGCTCACACTCAGCCCAGCCCACCTCGGAGGGTTGTTGTTGATGGAGAAAATGGGAGGAAGGAACATTATGTACACTGCCTTAAGCTCCTGCACAAAGGCAGGATACAAATCTAACAAATAAAAATACACTAACCAATAGATAAGCCTGTCGTTGAATTACGCATCCAAAATATTTCAGTGTTCTCATCGTTAGTCCTTCCGGTGAACAAACTGGATTTATTTCATCTCACGTTGAATTGGTTTTTTCGTCTTATGGTCCAAAGTATTCTTGGCAATGTTCTACAGCCCCATCTGTTCAAAGGCCTACATTTTTCTTCATTCAACTTTTATGATGGTCCAGCTATCGTAGCCATATATCCCAGCTAGAAAAGTCATGGCTTTGACAATGTGTACCTTTCTTATCAGCGTGATATCCCTACACCTTAATATTTTGTTTAGATCTGCCACAACCTTTCTCCTAAGTCGCAGATGTCTCTTTATTTCATGGGTAGAGGGACCATCCCAGGGAATTTCTGTGCCTAGAAAGATAGTCTCTTACTACTTCAACTTCTCCGCCAATTTGCATTGGGTTGGCTTTGCCTGTTGACATAATCCTACTTTTTAAAATATTGACCAAAAGACTGATTTTGAACTCTCTACTTCAACAAGAAGGATCTTTCCTTGCTTCCAGTCATCTAAGATGTATCATCAGCATTTTTGAACTTTTCCCATTTCTATTTCTTCGAGTCCATCATTTCCCATTATACATTCTGTGTATACATTAAAGAAATAAGATGACAATATACAGCCTTGATGCACTCCATTCCCAATCTGGAACTATTTTGTGGCTAACTCTTGCTTCCTGGCCATCATACAAATGAGGTAGCCTGACCCACCCAGGTTTTTATGGCTTTCCACAATTTCTTATGGTCTATATCAGTGTTTCTCAACTTTGGCAACTTTAAGATGGGGGTGTGCTTAACCCCAGCAAAACCTCACCCCAAACAACAACGTC